CCCCCCAAAAAAAAAAAGAAAAAAAATTTAAAAAAATTTTGCTTTAAGATAGCAAAAAAAATCGGGAAAAAACTTGAAAGAAAAAAACCTTTGCCAGCACTCGATTCCCATCCTGATCGAGAATCGCGATTCCTTTGATACTGTACAGAGAAGTCATAAGGCCTGAAAACCAAGAAATACAAATTTGCACCCAAAAATAGTACATTTTAAAAACGAAAGCAGACGCATTCTGGCCAGGAGCCAATGATGTTTGATCTCTTGCTATAAGCTATTTCACACTTCATGCAAAAATTAACCCCACACAGGAAGAAAGGAAATGACCTCAGTTCATGCAAAAAATAACCTCAAAATGGAGTAACCTCACTTCACGTAAGAATTAACTCATTAATCCTCACCTACAAGTTAAATAAATAGCGGCGCGCACCAGAGCCGCCGGTGCGATCACATGCGTTTTGCGCAATTCCGTCCACCGAACGATTGCCTGCTAATGATTTTCACTGCTCTGAATTAAAATTTGAGGGGTTACACATCGGCCGGGAGCAGTCCCCCAAAATTTCAGCTTCCTAGTTTCCGCGCTTCCCGAAATAATAATTTATCCGCCAAAAGTTTCACCAGACCGTATATATTATCCATGAGCACAGGAAGGCTGAATTCAAATTTTCTAGGTCGAATGTGGGCAGGGGGCATTCCCACAGAATTTCAGCCTTCTAGCTCCTGTGGTTCCCGAGATAATAATTTACGCGCCAAAAGTTTCACCAGACCGTCTATGTTACCCGCGAGCACGGGAAGGCTGAATTTAAATTTTCTAGGTCGCATTTGGGCAGGAGGCATGTCCACAGAATTTCAGCCTTCTAGCTCCCGTGGTTCCCGAGATAATAATTTACCCGTAAAAAACTTTCACGGTGCCGTACGTGTTACTCGCGGGTACGGGGAAGCTGAATTTAAATATGCGGGGTCAAACAAAATTGAGGTGGAACGAAGCCTGTCCCACTTAGCGAACGAAGCCTATTCTCACGGGTCTCATACCAAGGGCACCAACACACACACACACACACGCACACACACCATCTGAAAAACAAAAACCCACCACCCGAAACACCTCAAAATTGAAGAAAACGGATGAATTGGAAGAATCCACGTCGGAC